GAATACGCTGAAGGAGCCGCCACCGCAAAGGGATGACAATATCCGGCGATTCAGCCATCAGCTCATCCGTAATTCGCGGAAAGTCCATCGCCAATTGGGCTGGTAGGGAAGGGGCGGCTAGAGGCCAAAAAGCATATTGATTGTATTTTAATTGCTTTTTCGGTACATTTAAGAGGCTTAAATTGGCGGCCACGTGCCACACCAGGCTACGTGCCACCTTTTACCTTTTTTTTTCGTCATTTTGGTCGTTTTTGTTGCTGCCACGTCAGCAGGATAATAATTGCTTATTGACAGGAGGTCACTACTAGTTTGTGTCTGTATGTGGGTGACACAAAAGTTTGCTTTTTCCATTTAGCTTAGCCGCATTAAAAGGACACAAGACACAGGACACAACACATCCTTACACAGTTTGTTTACTGACCCGGAATACTGAATACGAAATTCTTACCTTAATTGATAAACAATGTCTAGAATACATTACCAATTTAAATGAGAATCAAGTCTTAGACTTAGGGTCCTTTTTTTCTTGGATTTAGTTATTAATTAAGAAATAAATAGGTACGTTTAAAACTATCTATAAATAATATTTAAAAAAAAAACCCTCATAATTGTATACAGAATCTTAATTAAATATAATTTTATTCTAAATGCTTATTTATTTCCTGCCTTCGAGACCCGTCAATGGATAACAATGTCCTGAATAATTGTCTGAAATTCGGCAAGGATGTCTTTGACAAAATGGACAGAGAAATGAAAAGCAACCGCACTAAAGGCAAAATATTAATTTAATTTCGAATGCAACGGCTGGAAGGGAAGTACTTTTGGAATTTTGTGATTTGTGAATGCGGTTTCTGAGACGCTTTGTATTGTCCTTTGAATGTCCCAGGTATGCCTTTTAATTGGTTGTGTCTTAATTTCTGAAATTCAAGACAAGTCAGGTAGGAAATATAAATTTCATTTCTTTTATTTTGTTTGTAATTTATCGAAATGGTTTTTGGCAATTGATAGTTTGGCTTTGTGGCTTTCTAATAAATTCAAAGACTTGGCTGGAGATTTTGTGGTTTTTGTGCCTTTGGTTCGATGTTCGATATTAATTAAAATGATTTTTTTTTGGCCAAAAAAAAAAGAGCAAAACAGGCCACTGGGTGTGCTCTGACTCATAAATATTCCCTTAGAACATCATATTTAATAAATAGACAAGTCGGGCATAAATTAAAATCATTTTTCATTCAACAAATGAGACACAGAATGCGTGCCAGAACATATTAAAATATTAAAAATGGCAAACAATGATGAAGGAGCCGCACAACATAGACAAAAAAAAAAAAATGGAAATAAAAGGAAAACCTGCTCCTACTTCTGGAAAAAAAAACACAACTGACAAATGAACGTTAAAAGTGCGCGACAATTTTTCCTTTTCATGGCGGGCTTTTGAATTTATTATGGCAGCAAATGACAGCCAACTTCAGGCGGGGGCACCAGGGCTGGATGGGCTGGGGCTAGGGCTGGGGCTAGGGGGCGTGGCCAATACCAAAATGGAATGGCAAAGTGATAAATTGACAGACGGTGTGCCAGAGGGGGTGGTGCGTGGCAAACGGGGGGCGTGGCTCATCCTCAAATAGAGTAGAGTACGGGGGGGGGCGACGTGTTTTTATGACTGCCTGCCGGGTATCCTGGCGGGTAGCCAGCCATTCTGCCTGTCTATTCTTAGGCAATATCCTCAAACAATTATCCCGCTAATAATGCATATTAAAATGTAAATGCCTTTTCGGCCAGGTGAGAGATGGCCAGGATCTCCTCTGCCATTCAGTAGCCCAAATTTATGGCCAAAACCAAATGACAAAGCTCCTGAATAATGGAAGATATATACAATCTGCGAATATATACAATTATGTTCAAAGGACAATGAGGAAATTAATGCCTGGAAGCTCGAAAGAATAAGAGCTTCCATTTTAAAACTTTTCGTTATAAAAATTCCTGGAAAAAATTAAGCAAAGCCCAGACTTTAAGATCCTTGGTCCCTGGTCCTGGGTCGATCTCCCAGGGTCATCAAATAGATTAAATAAATGCAGTAAATAAATCATTTAGCGCGTCTGAAGTAACGTATACGCCACGTAGGTCACGGAGCACACGTTTATGGCCCAAATCGCGCACGAGAGTTATAAACACGTATTATACATATAACCAAAAAAAAAAAAGAAAAGGAAGTCGATGCTGAAGCAACAAGGATACGTATACAGACCAGTAACAGTTACAGTTACAGTTGGAAATACAAATACAGATAGAGTTCTGGGTTTTGGGAGGAAGGCATGTGAGTACGTGACAATTAAATTTATGAAATACTATAGGTTCTGTTTTTGGCCAGAAACGGAAACGGAAATGGCAACGGAAACGGAAACGGAAAAGGCCAAAGGCGCTGGACTCCCAAAAAGAGGGTAAGAGAGACCAAAATCCAGAGTTGAAAAGTCAGTTCAAGGAGGGCGAATTATTGTGCGTGACTGTTGCCAGGATTCTGGGATAAAATTGGCCCATTAGCGAGTTCAGAAAAAGATAGCCAGTATGGGCTTTATGGTCTTATCCAGGCTAAGAGCATTAAGCCACACAAGGTAATGCAGGCAAGGCAATGGAGGCTTTACAGAAAGGGGTTCTTTAAAAAACACCCCCGACAAAAAATCTATTAAAGCTGATACAGAACCGATCGATTTAGCTTTTCAAAAAATCTAAAAGCAAATAAATAGGAAAAAGGGGGAACCGACTGCGAGCATTGTACTTCCACGCTCTTGACTTTGTTGCAACTGCAAACAATTGTAGCCCCCTTTCCCAGGCACATGTACACGAGTATTTGTAAAGGATATATATATATATATATACCATATCCTGGAAGGGGGATATCCTATGGAGGAGGAGGGGAGGGCAACTGGATGTCGCGTTTCTAAGCAGCAAGTGCTGCACTCAAATGTGACATGCATCAAATCACTTTACTCGAGTGCACACTTAATGTCGCTTCAAATGAGCGCAGCTGAGCATTAATACGGATGCGGATGTAGGGATATTTTTTTTGTGGAGTTGCCAACGTGTCAAGTTGCAACTCATTCAGCTTTTCTGAACTCTGAACTCTGAAATGAAACTGAAACTAAACCAACATGTTTGTTATTTTTTGTTCAAAATCATTTCAATTAATTAAAATTGTCAGTAAATGAGAAGCACTTGAAAGAATAGTGAACGATATAATCGTTTATTGGCAACTGGGCCCTGTCAATAATATTTAACTGGCAATAGTATTTAATATTTAACTTCTCCCAGATCCCTCCCAGACTGCTGGCATCTGGTACATATATTTTTTTCTGGCATTTCGAATTTCCACCAGTAGCCAGTATTTCCATTTCCCAACGTATTTTCGGCATATTGTAATTAAAATGGACGCCAAAAAAAGGAGGGAAGGAGGGAAAACGAGACCAAAGGGGGGATCAAAGGGGGGGCACACACAAAAACCAGCAGAAGCCCCGGCAAAAGTTTCGTAATAAAAATCCAGTTAATAAACTTTGCATTCCTGCTGGCATAGCAGGGCTTACATGTGTACATTTTATATATATTTTATACTACTATATAGACGGATATCTGGCAAACTGATAAATAATATTAAGATATGTTCTGTATAATTCCACATATCTGAGGAGAGACGGGCGATTTTTTAATTAAATCGTTTGCAAGTGAAAATAAAATAAATAAAAATGGCAAGAAGACGAGAAAGGAAATAAAGTAAAAAAAAATGAAAACCGAATTGAAAGTTTATGTCAGCGAAAAATGGCGGTTCTATCTGGTTGTGTGTGTGTGTGTGTCTGTGTATGTTTGTATTTGCATTTGTATTTGTGTGAGTGAGCAACCCGACGTCAAATATGTTTGAACAACTTTATTATGCAAAATGCCAAACATTCTCCAACTTGTAGACGTGGCGCTCTCGCGTTTACCCTTCTCTTTTCCTCCTTTATTTGCCATCTCTTTCACTTTTTTTTTCTTTCTATATCTGTGTGAGTGAGTGAGTGAGTGTGTGTGTGTGGGTGGGTGGATGGGGGAGTGAGTGAGTAGATTGCTGTGCGCGCAAATCTCATTTGAATTATAATGATGACGCCATGCACACACATACACTTATAAACTCACACCCATAGACATCCTAAGACTTACGCACACACACACACACACACTGAGACAACAACAAAAAACATAAGTTTATCCTTCGAAAGGGTTGCCTATTCGAAGCGGCTTATATCCTGGCAAATTTTTTTTATTTGTGTTTGGGTTTCGGGATTAAAAACAAGGGTTTTGGGCTTCGCTCTTGAATAAATTATATATTTGAAATTGCGGAAATTGATTAATTTTTAATTTCAAAAGTTTAAAATACATTGTAATTTATTTTTTAAATTTATTGAATTTTTTTTAGAAATCTTACTTTACTTCTATGGTTGTTTCTTTTTCTTTTTTGACGGGTGGCTTGATACATTTTATATTTGTGTTTGATTTTAAATTTAAAAAAGAATTTTAAATAATAAATAAATATAAAACAAATATTTAGAATTCTACATTTAGGGTGTAAAAGTATTTTATTTAATTTTATTTATTTTATTTAATTTTAAAGTCTTCAGAGGAACGTAAAGCCCTTTGAAGATTTAGAAACCATATTTTAAAGTCCTGCCTGCGATAAAAGCCTGCTTTTAAGAAATCACCCTTAAAATTATCAAGAAAAACTTAAAGACTTTATGTTTTAAACGGAAACCATATGAAATCCAATTAAGTAGGAAAATTTGCGCCAATTTAAGGGATATATCTGAGGCTTTGCCAGCAAAGTTTGGTAACCGTGGCGATTTCGAGGCATAATACTCTTGTTGGGAATATGTGCCTCTGCCTCTGCCTCTGTACCTGTGTACCTGTATGAGTGTGTAAAGGTGAGTGTGTGTGTGTGTATGATAGTACCACCGAACAGTATGGACAGACCGCACACATACCTGAACATGCTTGCGGCGGCAGTGGAAATATCAGCGTGGTGGAGCTCTTCCGCCTGGCAACCGCGCATCCGAGGGATTGGGGCTTGAAGCTCCGCAATTGTTGCATGAAATCGGAGCACTCCATTAGGGCCACGTCCGCGAAATGCAGGTCGCACAGTATCTGGTTCTGGAAAAAAAGGGCCAAAAAAATATGTATATATGTCAGAAAATGTGAGGCAAGTGTGAGTTGGAGGAGCAAGGACTCGGCTCTAAATGATTTATTCGCAACTCATTTTTTATTATTTTTCATGGCCCACATGTGTATGTAATTTTGATTAAGGCACTTGCCACAGTCTCGCCTCGGTTCGTGCAACATAAACGTGCATCCGTCATTCTCATTTTGGATGTAATGAGACCGTTTTTATGGTCTCTCCAACCCAAATGAGCGAATGCATTTCAAATGAGTTCATCTTTTATAACCAAAAACTCGCGAAAAAAAAAATTCAATCTCATTAATCAGGTGTTGAACTGGCACTTTTGATTAATTTTTTTGTAATTTAATTTTCATTTGTAGGGGAAATGACTTACCTTGAATCTCCTGGCCCGTTTCTGATTGGGCCCGGTTAGGTTTAGACCGCAGGAATTGCAGCGCAGACATTCCTCATGATAGTGATTGTTGTCGTAGAGCGGCGAGGGTTCTGCAAAAACACAAATCGCATATTGAGTGTGGTTTCAATTTGAGAGTACGTCCCCCAGCCCATTAATTTGCATAACCATAAGCCAAATATTCACCCATCCACCCATCATCCAACACTAGCCGGCACAACACTCTACACTAGACTACTATATGCACCAGCTGGCAAAAGCGACTCAATTACAAACGGAAATGAGTTTCTAATACAAGCAAATTGCAAAAGGATAGGGTCTACATTTGTATATATATATATAGGGGAGAGGAAAAGAGATGGGAAGGGAGGGCAAAAGAGGGAGAAAAAGAAAGCTGTATAGCTTTAGAAAGAGTAAGAAAGAGGGGCCACAAAATTGTTGCTTGTCGAGTTGATGAATGGCTGTTGATGGGTTTGCTTTATACCCTAACCACAGTCTGGCTTATTCCATTTTCCCCTTAAAGTTTGGACAAAGTTTCAGTTTTACGTTCAAAGCTTATAAATTTTGGGTTTTTGGATTACTATTCTTATACTCCTTACTCCAGAAAAACTATATTTTAATAACCATAATGGCCTTACATAGAAAGAGTATATTTCAACAGTTACAGAAACTATATCCTTACTCCTTTCTGTATGTATATTTTTTTTGGAAGGCCGAGGAGTGGCAGGAAAGAGTCCCCTGATGTATATATGTATTTTTTTTTTTTTGGGAGGAGGGCGTCTAGTAATCAAGTAGCTGTAATAATGAGCACGTGTGCGTGGTTCGCTGTTTGCCTCGACACCGGAAATCATAATTAAATGAATCAGGCAAGCGGAAACACATTATGAGCTGACACACACACTCACATGATGGCATGGGAAGGGAAACGACCTGATCATCGCCATCATCATCATCAAAACCATCATCGAAATCATCATTAAAATCATCACTGCTGTCATCGCATCATCAACTCATATGCGATGGTCTGACTCTAAACAAGCAGGACCGGTTGTCCTGTGCGAGTCCTTTGGCAATCCAGCAAATGTGATTCGCATTTCATTAGCCTCTCAACCCCGGCTGCCCGGCCCCCTTATTGGTTTCGATTCAATGATATTATTGTCAAAGCATTGTGTGTGCTAGTGTGTGTATCACAAAGTCATTATGACCTCGTAGTTCTCGTAGTGGCATTGCCTGTTGCACGGGGCGTATGCGTAATGTTTGGTTTTTTAGTGATTACTTTCGTAAGGGTTTGTCTTTTTTTTATATTTTGGTTTTAGTTCTATTTAATTGGCTTTTAAAAATTAAACAAATAACTAAGAAGTATTTCTTGGCTTTATATTTTTTGCCTGCTCCACGGGGCGTATACGTAACGCAAGCCATCACCTGTTGCACAGGGCGTATATGTAATCTATTTGAGATACATCTAAGTTACTTTTTTGCTTGAAATACATTTCCCTCTTGGTTTTCAAACAACTCCCTGGATTCAAAGTTTTCAGTTCAAATATTTCCAGCACTCATTAAAAGGCAAAAGCCCATACATAATTGCCAAGGATTGTTTTCACGAACTTGCCTTGAATTTTCTAGTCGATACAAATGAATCGTGTGGGTGCGGAGTCAGGTCAGCCCGCACATCCTGGAAAGTTGGCCCACACACACACACACACAAGATGTGTGTGTTATGGCCATGTTAGGAATTCCTGGGCAAATGCTAGTGCGAAATGCGAATGCGGGCCCCAGAAACTTTACGCATATTTTTGCATTAATGAACCCACTGGTCTTCCTGCTTCTGCTTCGGCTTCGGCTTCTGATTCTGGTTCTACTTCTGCTGGTTTTTGGCCTGTTGGCTTTTTGGCTTTTTAGCTTTTTCGTTGTTGGCAACTGCCAACTGGCGAATGGAATTTGCATTTGATAGCAGGCCAGGAAATGGACTTACCCCTCCACCTAATTGTTCTGCTTCTGCCACAAAAAGACACAGTACAAAACCAAATACTGCCCCCAAAAAAAAAAAAGAACCTAAACTTCGAAAAACTAATGCAATGAATGTCGACCAGACAGCAGTTGTCAGGCACTGAATACTGAGTATTCTATGATGATGACCAACGAGCAAAACCAAAAACAAAAAAAAAAATAAAAGTTAAATGTAACAAAAAATCTCTATAAACTGCAGTGCAGAAATCTAAAATCTGCAATCTGCCGCAAATTGCATTGTCAAGTGCAGGACAAAAAGGACAAGCAGGACGAAATGAGCAACACAAATGGCCAGGACACTCAAAAGGGCTGTCATTCGCTTCATTCCATGGCAGCAGACTCACCTAAGCTGCACAGAAAGAAATATTTGTTTTTATTACATTTTTTGATAAGAAATCGATAATTTCGATAATAAGGTTTACAAAGGCTTAGTTTATTGGCTAATTAAAGTACTTTTGAGGCAATTTATAAATTTCAAACCAATCGATAATTAAAAAAAACAAGTCTTATGGTCTAAGTAAGTTTTAATAATACATATATGCTTCTAAAATCTAGAATCTAGATATTTTAGTTTCTTTCTCTGTACGTAGCTTCTTGACTTTATATTTCTTGACTTGGCCCATAGAGTACAGTCTCACTCTCCTTTTAGCCCTTTCTGGGTCTTGATTGTTTCCGTTTAATGGGCCATTAAAATGCTTGAAAAACTATTTAAGCTCCGGGCGAATTTTAATCAGAGACGCGCAACAAAATTTTGACTAATTGAAAAACGACAAAATTGAGACCCATTACCCCATTCACCATTTTCCAAGTCCTTTGTTGTTTTTAGGGGGTTTGGGGTTGGGGTTTGGGCGAGTGGGTTGGGCTCTTTCATATTTTATTGCCACCGACTCCTCTTTTCCTTCTGAATTTTCCTTGACTTCTCCCCCCCCCTCCCCTGACTCGGCATGGCTTCTTCCTTTTCCCATTTGCCTTTATGACAGCTGCCGCATTGAAAACTTTACTTTGCATCTGCATTTTGCAGCTGCCTGACGAAGTGGGCGGCTGATGGAGATGGTTGGAGGTGGCGAGAGGGGCGTGTCCAAAAGTAGAGAGTCGACCGGGCTAATATAAATTCATGACTTTGATAAATTACCAACTAATGACCCAAAAGAATGGCAAACTTCTGGTTTTTAGTGCAGAAATCAAGCGTTAACTTTTTTGGCTTTTCTGTTTTGGCCAGAGGCGTGGACTTGTAGCTCTTTTCCTAAAAAGGGGCGAGGGGGCGTTCTAGCCAATTCAAAACAATGGCTGCCTAATGGCTTGTGACACTCATTCTACCAGCCTCCCTAAAAAGAGAATGGGGCGTGGCGGGTCGGTAGAATCGGTAGATAAAGCCAACGGACTATGCACTAAATGGTTGGCAGCCGAGTTGGCTGAATTGACTGCAAATGCAATTTGTTTAGAGAAATAGTTGCATATAAAAAGACTGAGGGATGTTTCGGAAGGGGATATACATACCAGGAAGGGGGTAGCCTTTAGGGGGGTTGGCTAACACTAACTTAATTGAGCGTAAATAATATTGAAGCCGGAGGGCCGGAGAACATGGAACGTGGAACAGAGAAAAAACCAGTCAACGTGGCTTCACTGCACTTTCATTAAAATTTGAGCGCACAGGGGCGGCACAAATAAGGACCAAGGGGGGCTGCGAATTCATCAGAGGCCCCCTCCATGTCCCCTCAACCACTTTGTTGCAAGCCAGTGCAATGGCCCAGCCAAGGAAACCTGTCGATGCAACTCATTTATGCAACTTTCCAAGAGAATCCTTGGCGTTTCGTAAGGCGATCTATCGGAAGAATTAAAAAAAGTTTGAAATAAAAACTTTTAACAAAGCTTCGGGTGTTAATTGGTACGGAATCGGATTGGGGTTCTTTTATGGTATTACGTTTGGAAATCGGATGAAAATTGGCAAAGAAATGGACATTATTCAGAGTCATATTTGAACAAGACAACTTTTATGAAGAATATCTCAATTGAAGGTATGGATAGGGCTCTATACGAAAATCCATGATTTTCAAAGGGGTATCCCAACAAAAATGGGGATGCAGATTTTATGCAGAATCGTGGGAATTCGACCCAGAAATCGTTTAAGGTACTCCGCTTAAGGATCGGATGAGAATTGGGCAAGATATAGCCATCGCAGTGGGCCCTATAGGGGAAAACAGCATTTCCAGGGGTCCCACCAGCAAAAATGGACAAAAAATCGAAAAAATATTTTGTCTCAGGATTTTGATGCAGAATGGTGGAGAATCGGACCAGAAATCGTTTAAGGTACTCCGCTTAAGGATCGGATGAGAATTGAGGAAGATATAGCCATCGCAGTGGGCCCTATAGGGGAAAACAGCATTTCCAGGGGACCCACCAGGAAAAATGGACAAAAAATCGAAAAAAATATTTTGTCTCAGGATTTTGATGCAGAATGGTGGAGAATCGGACCAGAAATCGTTTAAGGTACTCCGCTTAAGGATCGGATGAGAATTGAGGAAGATATAGCCATCGCAGTGGGCCCTATAGGGGAAAACAGCATTTCCAGGGGATCCATCAGGAAAAATGGACAAAAAATCGAAAAAATATTTTGTCTCAGGATTTTGATGCAGAATGGTGGAGAATCGGACCAGAAATCGTTTAAGGTACTCCGCTTAAGGATCGGATGAGAATTGAGGAAGATATAGCCATCGCAGTGGGCCCTATAGGGGAAATCCACATTTCCAGGGGATCCATCAGGAAAAATGGACAAAAAATCGAAAAAATATTTTGTCTCAGGATTTTGATGCAGAATGGTGGAGAATCGGACCAGAAATCGTTTAAGGTACTCCGCTTAAGGATCGGATGAGAATTGAGGAAGATATAGCCATCGCAGTGGGCCCTATAGGGGAAAACAGCATTTCCAGGGGATCCATCAGGAAAAATGGACAAAAAATCGAAAAAATATTTTGTCTCAGGATTTTGATGCAGAATGGTGGAGAATCGGACCAGAAATCGTTTAAGGTACTCCGCTTAAGGATCGGATGAGAATTGAGGAAGATATAGCCATCGCAGTGGGCCCTAT